GCCCTGCTCTGCAGCCCCAGCGACACAGCTCCCGCCAGCAGGAAGGGTGCGGGCACCCCCCCATCACAGACCTCGCTCTTCTCCCTGCACCCCCATTCTCGACCCTCCCCTGTCTGGTCCCCACGCTAATCCTCACCCCATCTCAGCCCTTCGCTGCTGCCAGCCCCCACTTCCCAGCTCCTCCTCAGGGAGATCTAGGCACCTAACTCCCAGGGAAAACAGAGGTGCCTAAACCCCTTGGACAAGCTGGTCCAGAGGCTTTGCCGGGCCCTCCTGGTGGAGCCTTCGTCCCAGCTTCTCCAGGGACTGCTGACAGAGTCCTTCCTCTCTTTGTGTTTCCCCTCCCAGCTGCCGGCCGGGGGCGACTGTAAGCTCTTGGGGGCAGGGACTGGGTCTCCCAATGTGCACGTACAGCACCTCACACAGCGGGGCCCTGCCGTTAGTCGGGCCCGCTAGGCGCTGCAGTGATGTGCTATTCATTACCAGGCCTCTCTGCTGCCTTGCCAGCAGAGCTCCACGGACCCTCGATTGTGGCCCCCGCCACGGGCCGGTGTGCCACGTAGCGCAAGCTCTCGCCACAGCCACTGACCCTCCATCGCGCCCGGCATCCTGCCTTGGACATGGGGCCCTTCAGGAGACTCCGGGCTGTGCGCCGTGGGGCTGGCCGCGGGGGAGGAGAAATTCCTTCCTGACCCCAGCCAGCAGGCAGCTCACGACCTGAAGCATGAAGGTTGATGGCCCCCGTTGCTGTGTCATGAAGGGGGACAGAGAAGCCAGGCTGCATTTCCAGCACAGCCCCCCCTGCCCTCAGAGGGCTCCGGGCCGGGGGACAGCGCCTCCTTTTCCCCAGACGTGCAAGGAGCAGCTGCCGGCGTGCAGGGGGCCCAGCGTCCCCCGCCGGCTAGCAAGGCCTGGCGTGCGTGCGGGGTGCAGCCGCGCCATGGGCAGCACTTTGGGGCTTCTGGAGGGGCAGGGCAGCGAGGGAGAGGCCCCCGCCCTGTTTGTTTATAGCAATAACCCGGCAACGTTTAGCCGGGGGGGCGGGAGGATGAGGTGGCGGGCCCGCCCGGCTGCCTCTGCCAGCTGGGGAGGAATGCAGTCGGGTCGCCAATTCCTGCCTGGCTGAGGGTGTTGCCGGCTCTGCCGAAACCTGGGGAGATGTCTGCTCGGTGCAGCGAGCGGCTGTTCGGCTTTCAGGGGCCGGCCCGGTGACTCCTGGGAAGTGGGGGCGATGCTGTGGGGGGGGGGTACTTAGACTGGGCACCTCTTCCAGCCAGGGCGGGAAAGGGTCTCTCCCAGCTTGGCCTTAGGCTGCTGGACAGGCACGTAGCCCCCTGGCCAGCCCGCCAGAGCACCCCTGAAGGGCTCCCAGCAGGGCTAAGGAGCTGGCTTCTCCTCCATTCGCAGGGGTGTCTTGCTGCGTTCTGTGGGGCTTGGCAACTCCTGATCTTATGGGCGAGATGCAGAAATAAGAGACGTCCCTTGTGATAAGGGGCTGGGAACCCGTATCCCCATCTCAACCCCTTCCCTGGGAGATCCCGGGCTGGGACCCTTCTTTGCACTCCAGGTACCTCCCCCGGGGCCCCGTCCCTGGCAGACAGCTATACCCTGGGGTGGCGTCACACGCCCGTGTGAACCTGTGTGGGATCTTATGGGCGAGATGCAGAAATAAGAGACGTCCCTTGTGATAAGGGGCTGGGAACCCGTATCCCCATCTCAACCCCTTCCCTGGGAGATCCCGGGCTGGGACCCTTCTTTGCACTCCAGGTACCTCCCCCGGGGCCCCGTCCCTGGCAGACAGCTATACCCTGGGGTGGCGTCACACGCCCGTGTGAACCTGTGTGGGTGGAGTGACT